CTGTGGAGCGTTGGGTAACACTGGCGATTGCCTAAGCAGTTGTTGTGATGATGTTGTAACCAGTCGGACCTGGCTGGGGTTTGACTGTCATGTGAGCCCTTGTTCTCTATCACTCTGCTGCCTGTGGCGTCAGGGCATGAGTGTGTGCCTGCCTGCCTGCGTGTGAGTGTATGTGCGTGCCTGCGTGTGTGTGATCTGATTTGTGGATTTCATTAGCGTAAAGAACATAAAATTGTGACTGTGGAGCGTTGTTTGCAGGCAGCAGCCCTCAAAAGAAAGGGGGCACACAGGTCAAAGGTGGCCTCTGTCTCGTGGTTTTCAGGGAACGAACACACGGTACATCTAAACTCACTCCACAGCCGATGAACAGCAGCAGGAAATGATAGATCATTAAAAAATGAGAGGCTGAGATGGCGCTCACAGATTAACCCTTTACAGTAATAATTAGGCAACAGGAAGCGCACAGATCAGGGCTTTCCCTCCATATCTCCTCATGTCGTCATCTACCCTCGATGGCAGTTTATTGATTTCTGATACATTTACACATTTTTCTGTGCAGGACTTGATGCCTTACTCTGCTCTGTGCTGTACATATGATAACAGGAGAACAGTTATTAAACATGCAATGAAGGATGCTGCAGCCAACAGGCGTTGATTTTGCAAATAATGAAAACAGCAAGAAAGCAGTGATGATACAAAGCTTTATTCATGCAGCACATTAAAAGACAGACTTTATAAAGAACAGATACTACGGAATAATGTGCTTTCTTTATTTTTTATTCTGTGAAAAGTGACTTTTCTACACCATATTTGTAGTATTTGTGGTTGTAGGAATTTCCTTTTTTGTAGTTTACAGGATTTTTTGTTTTTACTGGTTTCTTAAACAGACAGCACTGATCTTTAAAAACAGCTCACCTTAGATATTTAGATTTATTTATGAGTGTGCGTGTGTGTGTGTGTGTGTGTGTGTGTGTGTGTGTGTGTGTGTGTGTGTGAAGGAGAGAGAGAGAGAGAGATAATAGCACCTTGTAGGTTTGATTCTTTAATCCTAAATAAACTTTCATTAATGGTTGGTTGTCTGCTCTGCAGCACACTGATACAACATGTCACACACTTAATCATCTTGGTCACATCGTTATTGCTGCATATTTATTATTTACTTCACGACCTCTCTGAGAAAGATTTGTAAAATAATGAGAGGGTCACCACATGGATGGCATCACATGAGATGTTAGAGCTGCTGTGGTTTCTCCCTGTGTCTTTGGACGAAAGCTTCTCCCGTTCATAAATATTGATTTCACTTTTTATCCAGTCTTTGATAACGTCGTATTCTCCATTTGAAGACACAGTCATCATGAATATTTCAGCTGGCGGAGGCTTGAAGTGTGTATGAGTGGGACATCTCTGTGTTTGTCTTTTCTTACATTTAAAGGAATCAGGAGAGTTTAAAAACATATTTTTAAGTTGCTCAGCTCTGATTATCACACCCCACACACATCATATATATAGTTAAATTTACAGATTTAAGTTTCTCATACTGCAGCTTTTCATTTCTATATTTGAACCCTCAGTTTCTGTCCTTCCATCTTATTCAGACACAACAACAAAGTCTATTTAAGAGCTTCCTTTTCTTTATTTGTGTTTTTTATTTCATTGTGTTTTTTGGTCAATGAATCAAATACATGTACACACTAAAAAATAATAATCATCTTAGAGATTTTAACCTTTCTGCAGAATTCATCATGTTTTTAAAAAGATAACTAACAAAGTGATTTAGTGGTGATGAAGTCTGTGATGAATTAAAGCTGCGATGATTTGCAGTCTGCATGTTTTAATCCCACACACTGCTCGTGAGTCGGAGCGTGAGCAGGTATATCAAACATAAAATATCAAATGAAATGATGGGGTTGATCGTGAGAACATAGATGAACTAGAAATTATTCATTTTTATTTTTATAACCCTCTCATAAAGTTCAGCTCCTCCAGCTTTGTGCACTTCTTCTTGTGATTGAATTAGAGAGCAGCTGTGACAAAGTTTGAAAGGTTTTAACGGTGATAAAAAAAACACCTTCAGTTTAAGACTTTATTTTTATGACATTTTTTAATGTCTCTTTGTTTTCTCACATGAAGGCAGAGCGGAGATAAGTCACGTTTTTATGGCTCAGAGCAGAAGAAGTGCAATTTATTTATCTTCATACCTCTCACTAAAGTTATTTCTTTTCATGTTTTTTGGATTCAGATGTTTAAAAATGATGATTTTAATACTAGAATAACTTTTAACATTTTTAGAAGTGGTGTTCACAGTGAGTTTCTGTCTTTTCACTGTCACATCAAATGATGAAGGAGACAAAAAGAACAAGTTTTATTTTAACTTCTGCACTTTTTTTAGTTTCTGCTAATTCATCTGATTGACTCAAATTAGTTTTGCATCCCAGAGAGATTTATTTTAACATGTTATAGATTTACAAACACACTTTCCACTTAAGCATTCCTTAATCTTTCTTTAAAACATTGAGGTTAGATCCTTCTGTGCTGATCATTATGCTTTTATAATTAATAAAGACATTTTAGAACAACTTTTCAAAGAGTTAAAAGTCTGCCTGTGCTTTCTGGAGAGGCTTCAAAAAGTCTGATTTATGTCCCTGATGCTCGAGGCCACACAGTGTCAGAGCCTGACTGACCAGAAAGAGGCTCGAGTCAGGAGGTTTTCTGTGATTCTTACACAAAGCTCAAGATTTAAACAAAGCAGTGCTGAATGTTTTTAAAGAAGCAAATTAGAGTCAAACACTCAGGCTTCTTTTTTTTAATTTACTAAATTAGATCTTTTAGCTGTTTGAAATATCCGCTCCTGTTTCTTTTTGTCCTTCGTCTTTTTCAAGTTGAAGAAGTAAAAAAAATCCTCTTTTTAGATTTTCTTCACTTTTACTGAACATTTAAAACGTAATGTTATTAATGACATTTTTATTTGATGCATGCTCAAGCTCTGAACATGTTCTCTGGACTCTCATCCTTCTCAGACTTAGAAAAAGTTTTTTAACCAGAAGAGACAGAAGTGCAGCTCAGATACTCACGGGTTGTAAATTATCAACACACCTACAGTAGAAATCCAACATCTCCTGCAGAAGGTGGAAATAGATCTCTCCCTCCCAATCAAAAAAAAAGGCAGAAAAAGATGAGATTTTTATTGTCAAAAAGAGAGAGACGCTGGTGACTGTGAGGCATTAAAACCTGTTTTCGACTGCTAGCTTTCAGCGTCTTTGTTGCTGGATTTGCCCGGGCTCATGACTCAGTGTTGCTCATCGTGTAGGAGATGATTCGCCCGCCATTTCTCAAAACTCTTTCCCTCGCTCTTTGTTCTCGCCTGTTTGCTTACAACTCTTATTTCCCCCCGTCTCTCGTCTGTCTTTCCCTTCTTCAAACTCAACCTCAATTCAGGTTTGATGTTTTTTCTGAAGACTTTCATGTCTTTGTAGATATAGAAGTTTTTTTTAAAGTTGGGGGGGAGATGGGGATTTGGGAGGCTTTGTTTCCCTCCAAAAACAAACACAGGCAAACATAAAAAATATAGTCCTCTCTTGATTTTTGATACTCCTGACCATTTCCTTTTGTGTAATTTAACGCATGATCCATCTGCTAGACTTCCCGTCTCCTTGATGCCCATTCACATGTAGGATATCCATTACCTGTTTAATCATTACCAAACGGCTTCCTCGTTGTAAACTCAATCATTTAACACAACCTTGGGTTTTTTTTTTCTCACCATTATCAAGGTGTGTGTGTGTTTGTTCACGTGTGTGTGTGTGTGTGTGTGTGTGTGTGTGGAGGTGGGGAAGGGAAGGAAATGACTTTGCCTCCCTCGGAGAAAGTTATCAGCCATAAACTCAACCGTATGTGACACGAGTGCCCACGCAAACCTGCCCTTAAACCTGTGCTGTGTGTTTGTGTGTGTGTGTGTGTGTGTGTGTGTGTGTGCTGCCTCTGAGACGTGAACAAAGGTGGAGGCTTTAGAAACAATGGTTGAGGGGATGTAATTGACTGTGTATAGGAGCACAAGTGAGGGGTCTTTAGTATGTATTTGTTTAGTGATTAATCACTAACTCCAGCCGAGGGATGGGCCACTGATTCGCTATTCTAAGGCATTCTCTGCAGTCTCTCGCGTCTTTTTTTTTTCTTTTTTCTTTGCGTGTGTATGTAAGGAGAGGGGGGGGGGGTGGTGGCTAAATCTCGTAAAGGGTTTTCCTAATATGGGCTGTCTTATAAGACATCCCTCCCACTGTGGGCCATCCCCCCTCCAAGCCTCGACCAGTGATAACACAGCATCGGGTACGACTCACTTCCTCATTAATTGGCTGAAACCAGTTCTTACAGGAACAGCCTGTGATAAATGTGAGAGTTCTGAGAAGTCATTCATTTCTCCTCGCTGCAGCGGCAGAGGAGGCACTGCAGGGGAGTTGAACGAGTTCACCGATGTGTGTGCGTGTGTGTGCGAGGGAGGGAGAGGAAGCGCCGTGTGTGTACGAGAGGAGAGGAGAGGAGAGCGGGAGAATGTGGGTGACTACTGCTGCTGTAGCGGCTGCTGTATGAAGATCAGTTAACTTCATCTTTTCTTTTTTTATTTCTTTTTCTTTCTTTTTTTTTTTACTGTTTTTGTTTTTTTGAAGCAGCTTTGTTTTTCTACAGCACAGCCTGTACTTGTTTTTTTCCTTCTCTCTACATGCGAGTGTGTTTATGTGTGTGTGTGTGTGTGTGTTTGTGGGGATGAGCAGTGAAGGGATTGCACTCGTTGCTCTCTCTGTCTTTCTCTCTCTCCCTCCTCGGAGGGGAGAGAGGAAGCAGGGGAGGCCGACGACAGTGGACAGGACACAGGACAGCATGCCTTCCTTTGTTGCTGCCCTTGGGCTGGTGAGTAACAATGATGTGACGTGATTTGTGCCCCCCCCCTTCCTCCCTCCTTCCCTTCCTCTCTCTCTTTCTTTCTATCTCTCCTTGTCCTTCCCTCCCTCTTTCCCTCCTTTTCCTCTCCCCCTTCTATCTCCCTCCTCTCTCTCTCTCTCTCTCTCTCTCTCTTTCTCTGTTGGTGGAGGCAGATCTGTTCCTCTTCTGGGTGCGGCACTGCAGAAGCCCTTCAGGGAGTACTTGGAGGCCCAGAAGGCCAAACTGCACCATCACGGCGGAGAGGGGATCCCGACTGTAAGTACGGGGGGCCTCAGAGCCTCTATTCATTCACATGTGCGCGCCAAGGAAAGAATGTGGCCCCCTTACTTTTGCCTCTTTCACTCCTTCTCCCTCCTCTTTTTTTCTTGAAGTCCCTTTCTTCTCTTTATCTAAGCCTTCTTTTATTTCTCCCTCTGACCTATTTTCCTCTAAAGAACACATTCATGCTATTTCCCCCTTTCTCCCTGTTTCATTTAAAATGTGAAACTTAATTTCATGTTTATAAGAGATTTTTACTCTAACCTGTGGTGTTACAGTAGATTACAGGGGCTTGTTTAGGGCCAGAATGACAGAGTAGCTCGGGGCTGCACTGGGCGGGCTGGAGGGGGAGGAGAGAGGGGGGGTGGGGGGGAGGAGAGGGGCCAGTGTGGGGTCTGGCTGTATTGAACTGTACTACTGTAGCACGGGGCGTGCTGACTCATGCTCCATCTCACCAATTGGGAGTGTGTGTGTGAGTGTGGTCACTCCCCTATGTGTCACACACACACTTGCACTCAGTGCCCCGCCTGAACCCAGCACTGACTGTAGACCAGGGTGGGGGCCTCTGCTCTGTCCCCCCCCCCCCCCCCTCCCCTCCCCTTCACCTCAGCCTCCGTCAGTGACAATCCATCAAAACCCCCCAGTCTAGAACAAAAAAGAGCCAGTTGTAGTTCTCTTTCAAAGCTCCTCACTCCCTCTTTCTCCGTCTGATTCATTGAAAACGGTTTTGCTTTTTTTTTTATGCGCTTACTAGGCAGGAGAACGTAAAAAGGAGTTGCACAAGGACAGATTAAGGCATTTTCGAGAACAATGTTCCTTTTTTCTTGTAACTTGAGCCTCCTGCAGTTACAGGAGAGAAGCAAGGCAATTTAACTTGGTGGAGGCAGGCTGCAGGCTGGGGTCAACGGGGGCGTTCGGAGGGGAGGATGGTGGGGGCTGCCGCGTGTTTTATTACCCCTGATCTCTATCTGTCCTGCACTTGGAGCTGGATCCCCACCTAGCCTACAGCATCAGGAGCAGAGAGGGGAGAGAGCAGGGTGTGGGGGTGAAAGAGGAGGGGGTGGCCCTGAGCGCACTGACCGAGCTCCTCTCTCTGTGTTCTCTGTGGTTCTCTCTGGCAGGAGGAGAGCTGGCTGCCGTGGCTCTTCGAGAAGGTTGTGGTCATCATGGTATGCTTCTTTGTCTGCTCCATTGTCAACTCCATGGCGCAGAGCTACGCCAAGCGCAAGCAGCAGGAGAAATTCTCTGTGGGGAAGATGGAGTGAGGGCCGGCACGCAATCGCAGCGAACTTCAGAGGCTCCCATCACTTCACTCCCGCTGATGCCTCAACACGAAGCTTCATATCTGCCTCCGTCTCTTCTCGTTACTGTAGCAACATGTTTACCTTGAACTTGGACTTCCATTATTCTTGCTCTTTTTGAGGGCTTTGTGTTGCGGTAGTGATTTTTTGCGGTTGTTCTCTTTAAGGTAGGTGCTTGTCGGGGTGCGTGTTATGTTCTCGCCGTTGCTTTTTAGAAACTTGTGAGCACTTGAGAAGAAGATGCTGGCTGTTTTTACTCTCCTCAGTGAGGCCTTACGCTGCACTGTTTGATCCTTAGACCAACTTCAAAGTCTTATATGACTGTAGAGACTGTAGATTTAAATAAGCTAGTGTTGTGTCTTTGTTAAATAAAGTATTTATGATGTACCCTTGCTGGTTTAAGGATAAGTTCTGTATTCTGAGCTGTACAGTAGAGTTGTTGGCTAAGGCTGAGTCCGTGTAGAGCTCTTAAGACAGTAGTAGTCGTGATGCTAACGATTGTCCCGTGCTGTTCATGGACCGCTTCCTCTTTGTGAATCCAGCGTCTTACTACTTTTTGGGGATTTTTAAATGATAAACGGGCCACGGATCACCCTGCTGGTCCCTTTGTCTGCCCTTATTGTTCTGCTTCCAGGAAGACAGCACATGAGTCAGCCCGGGGGCTACTTTACCAGATGCAGCCGTATATTGAATCAGATCTACGACTCTGCGTGTGTGCGTGCCTGTGTTTGTGTGTGTGAGAGAGAGAGAGAGAGAGAGAGAGAGAGCGGCGAGATAGTCGGCTGCGTGGCTGCCACATTTGTCCCCCCCCCCCTCCCTTTTATCTTTTACGGATTAAAGCAGATTGTGCTCCGGTAATAGACTATAGTAGGAGTCAGTGTGGAAGTGGGAGAGCAGATAGTAGCTGTTTCAACTTCAACAGAGTCTGCGTCGTGTTTGTCTTTGTCTTTACTTGTCTTTTTTTTTTTTTTTTTAATCTTTTTAACACGAGACGAGGGCAGCAAGCAAATGTTTGACATCACCGGAGCCTCTCTTAAAGCAAAGCTCTTCATTTAATATAGTCATTCTTTTTTTCTTTTTTTTGTGGATAACGTCAGCTTTCTTTCTTAAATCTCTCCCCCCCCCCCCTTAAATCGCCAGAGAAACGTGCTATTTTCTCCCTCTCTGTACCGCCGCTGTGCTACGCTGGACTGAGCACAGTGGGCGCTAGAGCAGGCGCAAGCAGGAGGGAGGGAGTGAGGGAGGGACTGAGAGAGAGAGAGAGAGAAAAAACCTCAAGCGCAGCACAGTGAAAAGCGTCTGTGCCGTTACCTCAGCTGAACCTTCGTATGAACTCGTTGCACTGCCCCAGTCACGGAGCCAGGAGACGAATCACTCGAGTAGATTCAAAACAGAGGGGTACTGTTGAGCGGGCTGAACCCTGCGCTCTGCACCAGCGCTAGTCAGAACATTTTACATCTCCCTTTTTTCTCTCCTGTCATGGTAAGTGGGATTAGGATTTTTTTTTCCCCTTCTCTTTTCATTGTTGTCTGTACATGCGTCCGTCACTCTCTCGGCCTGTCAGATAGCTTATCAGACTGGTGTTGGCTGTTAAGATTTCAAGGCGACAACAGTCTGTAGGCTGTCTGACATTTCGGGCTCTCTCATCTGACCAGCATCCTGTTTTGTCCTCCTTTCTGTTACTGTCATTGTTTCAGTTAGCATCAGTTCCCATTTTTAAAGGTGTGCGTGCGTGTCTGCGTGTGTGTGTGTGCGTGTGTGTGTGTGTGTGCTGCTGCTGCTGCGATGTCACTTCCCTTTATCCCAACCGCTCCTGTAGCATCAGAGACATGGCTCTATTGTTTATTTCCTCCATGCTGACGTCCGTGAGGGTTTTTGTGTGGTTTTATGTGGGGGGAACTGTGTCTTCTCATGTTTGCAAATGCAGATGTAGTGATGTCAATGGTGTACCTCTTTATATGTGTGTGTGTGTGTGTGTGTGTGTGAGTTGGCTCTGTCCTCTTGAATTTCCAGAGAATCCAGACAGTACACACCTTATTGCAACACATCACATTGTGACACCCAGTCCTAGGTATGGTACACACAGTGCTCGCTCGGCTCTCCCCTTCCCTTTTACACTTCCCTCTTCTCTAATCCGAGTACTTTCTTTTGTTTCTCAATATCCACTTTTTTTTTTCGTCGAGGAAGCTGCTTTTTATTGGGGATTTTTTTTTTTTTTTTTTTTTTTTTTTTTTTTTTACTATGGGGCCACAAATTGGTGATTATGCAAAGCTGGAAATCGTTGCTTGACCAGTGTATATTTTTTCTCCACAAAGCCTCAGGTTTATTTAGAGATTTTTTTTTGAGAGCTCTTTTTTCCTCGTCATTAAAGCAAAAATCATTGGCTAACACAGGAATGGCTCGCTGGCTGACTGAGTGTTTTTCTTGGCAGTTTCAGGATGTCCTGTTCCATAAGGGAGCCCCCTTTTGGCATGCCTGTCTGAATGTGTGTGTGCATGCTTGTCGAGATACTCTGTTTATATTTTGACCTGTAATTCTCTGTATTTCTGGTGTTATTTTAAATATGTATGCACAGTTTTTCTTCACTCCTCTGCTTTAAATAAAGTCTGTTCAAAAGAGGATCTGCGTTCTCCTGGTTTTTTCTTTTTTGAAATACGATCAATCTTGACCACGCTGGGCCGGTGTTGACCCTCAGGCCTCAGAAGAATCTCACATGTCAGCCGAGGAACGAGTGACGAGGAGGAGAAGTCCATCACAAGCCCGATTTCTCCGTCTTGTGTTTCACATCCAAACGCTCATCACATTACTGATTCACTCTCCTCATGCTGACATCATCTCCATTTTCAGATACCAAGCGACCCTTCTGCTGTGCGCTGTAGAGTACGGCGACATTTATTCAATCCTGTTCATAATTATAGTTTTATAAGAACAGAAGTTGTACATTTTCACAACATTTAACAACGTTTGATGCACAAAGAGCGAATTCAAAAAAACATTTTTCATGACTTTTTTTTTTAAGCTAACTTTTGCTCAAATTTAAAAATGAAAATAACAGATTCATGTTCTTCTGGGGTTGAGTCATTAATCTACAAAATACATGAAACGCTTTATCCAACTGTTATCCAACCTTTAATGATGTGATGTAATTCAGGTGTTTTTCACACCAGATCAGTTTTCTGATGGTTATTAAAAGATAAAACAACATGAACCTGTTGTCGGCGTCTTCGACCACGTTGTTTTCCTGAGGTTAGACGTGGTCCCCCTTCCCCTTCCCCACCTACCTACCCCTGTAGAAGGCAAGTCATGTACCCCGAGCAGCAGCCACACCCTGAGCACCATGAAGATGACTGTTTCCACCTACCCCACCCCACCCAACCCCACCCTACCCCGGGGCTCCAGCTGAAAACCCAACATGCAAATCCTGCTTGTCCAAACAGGCTGGGGGACCGACGATTCAAATAACCACACCGCTTTTGTCCTTCTCTCTCTCTCTCTCTCTCTCCATATCCTCTACATGTACAACCGTTGAGTCGCTGGTTTAATTACCCCTCACCCTCCTCTAACCACCTCCCTCCCTCACTGTCTCTCACTCCACAGTTTTTTTCCCCCTCTCTCGTTCTCCTTCCTGTCAGCAGGCTCAACCACCGAGGGATGCTGAAATATCCCTGACTTCATCCACCACCCACCCACAAGCCCACTCTGCATTCGGTTATCCACTTAGTTCCTTTCACACTTTGTCTCATTAAATTATGCTGACCATTTGGATTGTTTCTTCCCTTTTTTAAAAAGTTTTATTTAAAATCACATTAAGCTCCTTTGTTTTTGTGAGAATCTGTCAGGAGAGGGGTGAGGTGGGGTGGGGTGGGGGGGGTCATGTCGGACCACAGAGGAGGGAGGGAGGGAGCAGACCGAACGGTGCAGAGAAACATGCTTACTAATGCAAGTTCACATCACCGAGGATTAAACCCTCTTTTTATTCACAATATCACCGTTTTAAGATTTACAGCTTTTATTTTCACTCATTGTCATCAGATATTTTAAAAGCAAAAATTAAAAATATACTTAAACAAACAAAGCGAACTACAATGAGAGCATACTTTCTGTAGTGGCTCAATTTTTCTTAACCTCGATCCAGTCCTAGCCCGTTTTTCTTTTTGGCCTAACGAGTAAATTCAAGGCTTCGCCAAAATAAAGTGAAGAATGCAGATAACTAGCTAAGAAACAAAAGAAACAAATATAATGTTTTACACACCTGACCTTACATCTGTGTTAACGCTCGACAATTCAAAACTGACAAATATTGAGTCAGAAGAATTATTTTTAAGTTATTTGGATTTAATTGCTCAACTTTAAAATGAAGTTCACCTGAATGATTTGTTTCTCCTTTCTCTGGTAAGCGTGCGCTGGATTATGCAAATGTGAGTGTATTTTAGCACGTATTCTGGACACAGTCACTGTATTGTGAAAAATAAAAAAATTCTACTTATTTATTAAATCTTCCCTCCCCTCCTGTACAAACGTTTGTATGTCTTTATTCTTCCTGCACCTTTTTTGTTTCTTTGTAAAGGCAAACAATTTAAAGAAAGTATTCCTCTACATTGTACCGCTTAAAAGAACAAAATTAAATGTAAATTAAATGAAAATATTCTGTGGCACTGCCCCGCTTGTGACCCGGACTCACATGCTGTTGAAGCAGCTGACAGTAACGTGTATCGTGTCATATTGATTCCATTTGACTCATTGACTCTTCAATTATAAATATATCTATTAAATATGTTGGTCTTGATAATTTGTCTGAACCGCTGTGATACAGTGTAGTGTCACGTCGGTCCTTACTGCTCGTTTTCTGAACACATATACAGACGTGTGTAAGCACATACAGACAGAGACACACAAACACACACAGACAGACAGATAGATAGATGGATAGATACACTTTCTTGTCATTGAAGGAACACAATACAAACTTTGTTTGGCAGAACTTGTGTACAGCAGCATTACAGATCTCGGTCATATATAAAAATATGTTCATAGTTATGTCCATACAAGTTTGTGCTGGATTGAGAGAGGTAGGTGTGGTGGTGGATGTTTTTTCACTGGTATTTATCTCAGTTTTGTCAGGTATATATGCATACTGATATTTATTGATGTGTATTGTTGTCTTTGTATTTTATATTATGGATCTCTTTGTTCTACAGAGGATTTTTAAATAGGGAATTAGCTTTCAGATCTTATGCTACTGGGGCGGCAGTAGCTCAGTCTGTAGGGAGGTGCCAGTTCACTTGCTGAGCACTGCAGAGGTGCCCTTGAGCAAGGCATTAAACCCTCCCACCAGCTCTGAAGCGCTCACTGTGGGCAGCTCCCTCACGCTGACATCTCTCCATCAGTGCATGTTCAGAGGATCCTGTGTGTGCATGTGTGTGTGTTTCAGCCTCTGTGTGTGTAGCAGGTTCAACAACAGAGTGTACATTTCAATTTCCTCTCGCAGGATTAATAAATGAAATCTTACTTTTTTTTAGTACCTGTTTAGAGAATGATAAATTTCAGCGGTGTCAGGTCACCTGTTCGTCCTGTTCCTGTACTTAAGATGGCGACTCCCAAAATACACTTTTAAGTCTGAAGAAGAGTGTCACTTATGAATAAATCCTTTCAACGTGAGCTCCTTGGTGTGTGGCTCTTGTTTGCTTCTCTTGACTTTAAATTCAAGTCATTGCTGTTCGTATTTAGAAGAATAGCAGGAAAAAAATCTGTGAAGCTTGAGAAGCATGCAAAAAATAAAACCGGATATCACTTGAAATATGAGCTTCATGTGTGAAGACCTTTTTCTTTGTCATACACACTTGGTGCTCACACACACACACACACACACTCACCATCACTGTGGTTAGTGGCTCAGCCTCGGCTCCAAAGGCCTTTGTTTCCTTTATTGTGGCTTCGGCATGCCGAGATCAAACAGGCTTATCAGCGTCTTCTGACTCTTCATAATTCACTCCATGTGGGAGCAGAGATTATTGGTCTCATTTGAAGTAGATCACTGGGTCGATTCTCAAGATTTAAAGCCTAAATCAACGTATCAACAGGAACTTGGCCGCCCTCCATTGCTCCGTGATTTACAATTCTTTAAGTGCAGCCCTTCAAACCGTTACTATCCACTGATGCACTTCTCTGTTTCTCAGATTGACTTGGACACAACAAAACACATCTCCCAGCGCTGCGTTAAACTAAATTATGTGTGGGTATTTTAACAGCTAGAGTTAGGCAGAAGCATCTGCTGTTCCTGCCCACGCAGTGCCAACATGGCAGAACGCCTAATGGTCGATGCCAGGTGGCAGCGACCAGGGCACCGTGACGAAACACACATCCGTGCTCCTTCCGCTTTCTCAAAGCGTTAACGCTCACATCCAGCTCAGGCTGCGCGTTTGTTGACTTTAAAAGACAGGTGAAAGATTAAACGACATCAGTCATTTTGATCTGCGTTAGTTTGTGAGGAGGACACAGAAACATCAGTGACTTGACTTTTTGTCCGCCATTGTCCAAAACTAAACTCCATTTTTTATCAACATTCAGGAGTGGGCGTGTGTCTCAAACACAGATCATCTTTTCTTCATGGGTCCATGTTTCAGAGCGAGAGGTGGAAAGAACAAACTCTTTCAGATTGATTTTTGGGGCTTTTTACGCCTTCATTAGAGGGACAGTGACAGAAATTAAGGAGCTAGTGTGGTGCAAAGGAGCCACAGGTGGGATTTGAACCCTGTGGCCTCTGTACATGGCGTGTGCAAACTAACCACTAGGCCACCAGCGCCCCAAAGAAACACAAATTATTATTAAAAAAATCCACTTCTACTGGTATCTCTACTGACCCCCGGACTCCACCCCCAGCCTAGAACAAAACTTTAGAGCAGGTCTGCCATTTTTATTCTCACTAGCAAAGAAGTGATGTCTACTGGGAAAACTGAGGGGGGGCTCATTACATTTAAAGAGACACACACACCAAAACGGAGCGTTCTGTGAGAGCTGGTTTATACAGGGTCACAAACCTCCTCTGGTGCTTGATTCATGTTATATTTTGACCAAAGCACAGCACAGATGTTTCATTTAGACCACAGGGGACTGTTTGAAAAGGTGGAGAAGGGGGATAATATGGCCTCTTTAAGGAATCATTCGTCGTTATTTGAAGGGTCGATGCACAACACAACCGTTTGAGCCAGAGTTAGCTATGAAGCTAATTTACATCTGTCAGACTACTTAATTTGTTTTTATCACGTTCTGTTTAAGCAGTACAATGTAGAGCAGGGATGGGCAACTTTGGTCACGGCAAGGGCTACATTCAATTAATTCTCCCTGCCAAAGGGCCAAATTGTAGTATACAAAAACGATCAATTATGAATCAATTATTTAAAAAAAATCAACATATGCCAGTGATCAAATATTATGATGGAAATATTTCTGGTTTTCATGATTTCATGGCAGATTTTGTCACATTTTCTTCATGTTTCCAATTCCTGAGGGCCACATTGAGGGTTGATGCGGGCCGCCAGTTGCCCACCGCTGATGCAGAGGGATCCTTCCTTTACGCTTTGGTCGAAAACAAAGAACGAAAAGGTGCAGGGAGGGAAAAA